GCAATCGCCGAACAGGAGATAAGGTGATCTTGAACTGTCATAGTGTCGTTGGGAATGAAAAAGAAGAAATAAAAATAAGAAAAGTTGATTTATTAATGTGTTGATTAGATACTAATTAAATCTACTTTTAAATATTAATTTTCAATAACCCACAAGTAAAGGGAATAATTATTAAAAATATACTAGGTCCAAACTAATTCATTTACATAATGTCTCATTAAATTAATACAGCATCCCTGTGAAGAATACTGCTATTTGTCTAATGTTTATAAAATACGCATTTAGGTTTAGATAGATAACATGTCAAACTCAACAGTCACTAAATATAAAAGTCAAGTTTCAAACCCAAAATGTCTGATTTCATATCCCCTTCCAAAATGACACTATACTGTCTGTCAAAATTAGATAAATCACATGTGCCCTAGTCAGTTTTTGCTGTTATAACAAAATACCTAAGACTAGGTAATTTAGAAAAATCCAGAAAATACTTTTTACAGTTTAGGAAGCTGTGAAGTCCAAGATCAAGGCACTAGCAGGTTCTGTTTTCTGAATAAGGGTGCTGTCTGCTTCCAATTTGACACATTGTTGCTGCACCCTCCAGAGGCAAGGAATGCTGTGACCTACCTGGGGGAGGGCAGAGGAGCAAGAGGTCTAAACACCACATGAAGCCTCATTTACCTCTTTTATAAGGGCCTTAATTCCATTTATAAAACAAGAGCCCTCCTGGCCTAATCACCTCTTAAAGACTCCACCTCTTAATACTATCGCATTGGCCCTTAAGTTTCAACACCTAAATTTTAGAGGGGACACATCCAAACCATAGCAATGTGTGACATTACAGGATGATGAACAAGAGTATCATAACTATAATGACGATGAAGTTTGATGTAGATTGTACTGAAGTTCGAAGATAATTTCTCTGAAAATAAATAACATGAATTTTTATAATACATGACAAAACCTAAAATTTTAAGTAAAATGTTAATTATAGTTAAAACTATTGAGTAGTTTGACATAAATTAGGCACTATTTTAAGCTTTCTACATCCTCATGTAATCTTTAAAATAGACACATAAATTATGGTACTATTTCTTTTACAGATTATAAAATTAAGACACAAAGTGATAAGTGGTTGACACTTAAGGAAAGGAGGAGGTGGCAGAACCAAGACAAGGTCTGGGTCTAGTACATTTGAGTTTGTTACCTTCTGGTAACAATGTCTTCCTGAACAGAAAATCAAAAAATCATTTTCTCTTTTTCAGTTGTTGAAGGGATCAAGAAAATAAATGAATCAGAAAACTGTAGTGACAGTAAAAATAAATTCAATTTCTAATGCACTTACAGAAGGAAAACCAGATGATTTCATCAACTCATAAATCGTTACTGGACTTAATGTATGAGCGTGAGGGTCAGGTTGATTATATATGTTATACAGCTTTATACATTTTATAACTTCATCTAGATGATATGGAAAAACTTGAAAATTCATTTTTTTCATACAAGACAGGAAAAAATAAAAGGAGAAACTAATAGACATAGTGAAGTGTGGTTAGATTCATGACATGATATTATAAGAACAGTTCTACATTAACAGAGGCTAATTCTGTTTTATCTAATTTAAATGAAATATAATTGTATATTTGAAATCATATATTAAATAGAAAATATAAGAAGAAAACACACAAAGCACAAGACTGAAAACTCCAACATCAAATATGTGTATATCATGAGAAATATCTCACTTTACTGTGGGTACCTGGTTCTCTAATTCCAATCATCTCATCAGAACTTTTTTTAGTATTAATATTGAAATGGGAATTACAATTGTGTTAGAACTTGTTTCCATTGCTCTGAGATAATCTTCCAGTGACATTAGATATTTCTGTAACAATTCTACAGGGAGCACTTCAGAACATTTCCTTCTGGCAGGGATTTAAGAAAAAATATGGACAGTCACTGTGTGAAATTTAGTTGAGAAATTTCCTCTTAGACAAAATAATGTTTTAAAGCCCCATGTGATGTTATAAGTTCTAATTAATATTCCTAGCTTCCTGAATACCAGAGAATTCTGTGTATTCTTAAATTTGCCTCCACCACTGGGGGTGTTCTGTAGGTCTTATCATGTCTGAAAATGCTTTCAACTTCAAGATCTCCAAATGCAAAATTACATTTTCTGATGATAAACCTGTCTTCATATTATAATTCCCATATTTCTTAACATCTATTGAACTTCATCATTAGTTCATCACCATTTGCCATTTTTTGCCTCTGCATTGTTTTGGTAACCCAACCTAGCTTCTGACTTTCCTTGTCATGACTCAATGAGAAAAGTAATGGTTAGTCATATGAAAACATCTTTTTTTTTTTTTTTGCCACTTTAAGAATACCACATCTTTAAGACTTTCTATCATTCCTGTATAGCAAATCCTCACTTTTGAGTTTCTCTCACTGTTAATTCTGTTTTTGTTCTTAGATAAGCACAGTGCTGTAAAACCATACTTATTAGAGCCAATAACTGGGTAGTAATGTAATTGAAAGTATAAATCTGAGCCACTTTTCAGTTTTTAAAATTTAACAGGACACCATAAAACTGGTGTAAATCAGCCCTGTCTCAGAGAAACCAGGATGTGTTATCATCCTGCCAGAAATATATGTATTTTCTCATCTAAATAACTCTTCAATTCCACATGAAATCATTCATTCATTTATTTATTCATTTTGGACTGGTTCCCTGTAAGGTATTTCCAACATCAGTTTTGAGCTTTTTCACTTGCCTCAAAGAACAAATTTCTTCACTCTCATTCTAATTTTAATTCAACCCAAATCCCTCATTTTCTCCTTCTAGAGGACAATCCAAATCTCACCACCTCCAAATGTTCCTCTTGCTCTGTAGTCATTATCCTTTAGTCTGGATTTTTAAAAAATTTTAAAAGTCCTTCAATTTTTAGTTAAATCCGATTCATTTTTACTCCTTCAAAACTTTTCTATGTTTTCTATTGCTGATATCATTGTGTTACATAATACTACCTCAATGGCTTTCTTTTTTGGAGGGGTTGGGCCATTATATTCCCTCAACTTACTTCTTATACTCATCACAACATCCCTGAATATGTAAAATATATTTTCCCAGCCCATTGATATCACCTAAGAATTTCTGCTTGGTTTTATATAAATCTGTCCACGTTGGGCTTGCTTATCCATAATGATAGATTCAGATATTTCTCAATTGTCACGTCCCCATCCTTTTCTACAGATGGGCTGGTTTATATATGTGTGTGTGTATATATATGTATGTGTGTGTATGTACATATATACACATATACAGATACACACATATATACATATGTGTGTACATGTATATATAATATATGATTATGTATAATCATAATTAACATATGATTATATATGATATATATGATCAATTACATATGGTTATGTATGATCAATTATATATTGTTATGTGTACAATTATATATATATATATATAAACCAATTTTACATGATGATTTAATGTTAGAAAGAGAAAAGCTAAATTTACTTTGGTATTGAGCTTACAAATTTTACTTTTCCGTTTTTATAATCATTATATTTTCTTATTCATGCTTAGTCATGACAGAAGAGCAGAAGATCAAACACCGCATGTTCTCACTCATAGGCAGGTGTTGAACAATGAGAACACATGAACGCAGGGAGGGGAGCACTACACACTGGGGTCAGTTGGGGGGAAATAGGGGAGGGACAGTGGGGGGTGGGGAGCTGGGGAGAGATAGCAAGGGGAGAGATGCCAGATGTAGGTGATGGGGAGAAAGGCAGCAAATCACACCGCCACGTGTGTACATATGCAACAATCTTGCATGTTCTTCACATGTACCCCAAAACCTAAAATGCAATAAAATAAATAAATGGGAAAAAAAAATTCTTCCTTTTCGTGTCTCCACATAAAATTAGCCAACAAGTCTGTAGATTTTTCTTCCAATACATTCTTCAAACTACTACCAAGTTATACAATATTAGTAATACTGTATCAGCCCTAAACAGTACTTCTGCCAGATTAATCTTGAAGCCTGCCTCCAGTCATTTCAAGCCATTGAAATATATAAGAACTTTTAAAGTGTCTTCTCTTGGAACCTGACTTAATTACATTCTCCTTTGCTTTGTATGTATGGCTTTCCTTTCTCTGTCCCCAAAATGTACTCCTCATTGCTTTCTCTCCCAATATTCAAAAATTGAAATCTCATACGTTAGTAAGATCAGATGGCATGCTATTTCCTAAATGTTGCCAGCATGTTCATTTTGTTCCAGCCTCCAGGGACCTTCCCTGTTGAAATTCCACATTCTTAATGACTTTATCGTAGTCAATCTCTTTCATGAGCAATTGTTTACTATTTGCCAGATATAAAATCCTCTTTCTTTAATTCCCAATAGCACACTGTTTAGTTATGTTATTCTGTCTCTCATAAGCATTATTTGTGTACCCATTTTATCTTTCTCATAAACTGCTATTTTCGAAAGGATCTGACATACATCTACTCATTGTTTGAATACTTACTAATATCAGACTATCATTAATTACTTGTGAAAATTATTGTACAAATGTGATTCAGAATATTTTAGTTATTTGTATAACTGTAATATAAAAATATTACTAGACTTCTCTGCAAACAAAGTTCTTTCCAACAGTCAGGTAGCAAGTATCATACAAAGTAAATAGTTGAACTGACTGATGCATGAAAAAAGTAAAAGATTTATTCATGGGCAAATCCTAGTCTGTGGTAAAGCTAGAAGACACAGTCCTTTAAATCTTCTTTTTCATTTTAAATAGAGCCCTCTATATGCATGCAAAGTGCTGCAATCATTAATTAAGTAGATTCAATATCTCATTTTCATTAAATCATCACTGATTTGAGCTCACTGTTTTCTCAATTTAGGCCTAAGAAAATTATGGGCAGATATTCATTCTCCAATTAACCTAAAAGTGAACTATATTTCATTGCTTGTAGGATGGTATGGGAAATCTGAGAGTCACCAAGAAGGGAATCCGACTTGAAGGTATATCTGAGTTTCTACTTCCATTGTATGTGAAAGAAATTCATTCTCGAAAGGTATGTGATACTGGCTTTGGCTTACTGTAAAAGATAATTTAGAGGTTATATTTTTAGCTTGAAATAGGAGGACAGAATCCCCTTATCTCTTCAGCATGTGTTTAGTTTCCTTAAGCTAAATACCTATGTTTAAAAATCAAAATTATAAAATAATTGAAAATTAGTGAAGAAGGTTAGTTTCCACCCGACAAAACAGAAAACCATTTTGAACTAAACTGCAGTATTACTTTTGCTACGCTATAAAATGTGCCTCTCTATTTTCACTGGAAATTAAAGTATAAAGTTATAGTAAATCCAAAGGGGGCATTTGATATGTCTTAAGTAATTTTTCCCAAAAGGCACTGATTTGAATTAATGCTTTTAATTCAACATATTATATATCACATCAGCTTTAATAGACATGCATTTTCTAAAAGAGATGACAAAGAATTTTAATGTAGAAATTAAATGTATTTCTATGTACATTATGTAAAATAAGCCAGAATATTTATCCTTCAAATATGTGTGTGCACGTGTGCTACCTGTGTTTTATCTCTTAGAAGCATGCTAAAAATTAAGATTGTAGCTTAGTTAATGTTCTTTTTGGCTTATGTACATTACCTCTCAGAAGGTAGTAAATATTCTTGGATTATAACAAACTTACTAGAATTTTTCATACCTATTACACATCTCCCTGAGGGATATATATATATATATATATATATATATATTTGTGGAAATAAGTTTATTAAGTTAGAAATAATGGAAAGTGTGTTAAATAAAAGTTGGAAAAAGGTCATACTTATTTCTTGAATGTGAAAGTCTATTTTAGACTAAAATAATGTTTTACTATTTTAATCAATGTAGAAGATTAGCAAATAGGTTGCATAGTGAGCCATAATTTGAATAATTTGTATCTAAGTTATTTTTCCTTAAGCATCAAAGTGAAAACAGAACAAAGGATTGTTTTTCATAAAACATTTAATTAGGATAACTATATCAATCTTAAATTTCCTTTTAAAATATGCAAACTGATACAGCTGTCTAATATACTGTATTGACTGTATTCTGGTACTAGAAATTTTATTTTGACACTACTTCAGTTTCTGGATATTGCCAGACAAGTAAAACAGTAGACAGATGTACGAATACCTGATCTTACATAATTAAACTTTTAAAAAGTATTAAATTTAAAATAAAAAGTTTAGTTATTTTGTTTCATTTTGTTTTATGAAGAGGAGAAAAAAACAAAACCATGCTTACACATATTAGTGTCTTACTTTCATTTAAAGTCACCATCTTGGACAGTTATTTATTGAATTCTTGTGTTTGGCACTATTAAATAATTTAATATATGAAGGAATAAAAACTTGTACATAGAAATCAAGAAACTGCTTACCATAGGAAGAAAGTGAGACTAAGCATAGGCCAAAACTTCTCTGAAAATGCATCCTATTGACAAGTCCAGGGTCAGCAAAAATGATTTACCTCTGAAGTCCTTTAGGTTCATTTGTAGTGGCTAGCTGGAAACCAAATTTAAATGACTGTGAAACCCTCTACAGTAGGCAGGTTGTAGAATTTATCTTCTCAGCCAAATACTTCATTTCTGAGAGCATAAAAACAGGTTGCAAATTAGGATTATCTTGAGAAGCAGGGATATGTGTGGATTCCACCTATGGACCATAGAGGGTTGAGTCCCCTCACATTATAGCCAGTTGCGATTCCTAATTTTCATCCCTGGGAAAGATAACTTCATGTTCACAAGCATTTCCAAAACCTACTGTATTGACTGAAGAATATGTGCTTCCTTTCACACCCCAGCCCTGATGCAGGTCCTCCTGTGTCTTCTCTCATTATTGTTTGTCTCCCTGTAAGTAGGAAGCACGGGAAAGGTGGAAACATTGGTAGCCATACAGGAAATCCGGTGCAAGAACAGAAATAGGAGGGGACTCATGTATTTCTTGAAAATTCTCTGCACATACACTTCAAAAATAAATACGTAAGAAATCTCCAGACTGCTTTCCACAGTGGCTGAACTAGCTTATGAACCTAAAATATAAGTTGGATAAATAAATAAATAAATATTTAAAATACAGAGAAAAATATATTTTATAAGCACCTCTCACATTATGATTTACTTGTTCATGAATGTCATAATGCCTATTTACTTCCATAAAGGTAGCCACAATTTCTCTTAGCCTTAGTTTGTTCATTATTAAGTGAGTTTGGTAGAAACTTACCAAAGTGTTTAACTCTTAGGTTAAGGAAGAACACAACCATTTCAGTAACAAAAGTAGAAATGAGAGCTTTAATTTTAAACATTCTGTTACACATTTTAGTCTTTTCATGCATTTTCATATACTCAACAATTTTATGATAAAATTCCAAAGTTCCCATATTTCTAAGGTAAGGAAATCTATTAGAAAGTTTAAAAGCCACTTTGGAAGATTCAAGGAAGCTGAGAGAAAAAAAAGTGCTGGGTACAAGAATTTTGATTTCTGTGTATGATTGTGTATGTTTAACCTCATTAATGCCATCCTGTTGCCCTCTTTAAATCTAGCTAGTATTCCACTCTTACATACAGAATTTTCTTATTTACAGTTGCTTTGTTGTACAGGCATTTAGTCCTACACATGGAAAAATAATAAAGAGATTTATTGGACAGAAAATGTAGTTGCCCATTGATACACATCTAGTCACCTAACCTAATCAACTATGGGCTGGACCAACTTTACAAGCTCCGCTCACCCTCTCCCCATCACTAAATACCTACAGACATTTAAAGTTATATTATTAGACTCAGCAATTTACACCCTTCTTCATGCTTTTCAAATATTAACCTTTTCTAAGTAGTCTATTAAAAAAACTAAATAGAAAAACATAACATAGTGTATCCAGGAAATATCTTAGAATTCAATGTATTTTTCAAAAAAATTTTAATCGCATTTTAGGTTTGGGGGTACCTGTGAAGAACATGCAAGATTGTTGCATAGGCACACACATGGCAGTGTGATTTGCTACCTTCCTCCCCATCACCTATATCTGGCATTTTTCAAAATTAATGTTATCCTCAGAGAAGATTACTCATAGAACATTTGTGAAGTTAAATATATAATATTATTTAGACAAGAACAAATCAAAGGATGTATAATTTGGGCTAGTTTATATAAAAGGCAATGATGATAACATTCTGCATCTATTTTCAAGGCCCTTAGTCCAACTTTAGGTCAAAACATTTAAAATATCAGGAATTTAGGACATCTAGTATTCAGACTTTTGAAAAACTTAATTGGAGTGTGTTTCCCAGGGATCCATGAGTCCAAAGTAGTAATGTGGTCAAATTACATACATTTAACTTCTTCTACCCAGCAAAATTTGCATCATGTAGTTTTTCAGAACCTCTTATCTGAGAGGGACTGAACAGCCCTCTTGGTTTGTTTCTTTGTTTCCTGTTCAAGGATTCTTAGTTGAGGTGGTACCTCAGCACTGCCACTGATCCCAGCTTCCTACATCACAGACTGGTACTGGTGACAGAGGACTTACTACCAGATAATTCAAATTCTGACAAGCCCAAAGTTAAGCAAGTAAGTTTTGAGTTCCCAGGACAGCCGTATTAGCAGAGGTTTGAATAAGACTCTGCTTTTCTCATCATGTCCATTTCACTGTGATGTTAACCCAGTTCTAGGTTCCACCAGTTTTGCAGCTTGCATATTCAATTATTCTTTATGGAGTTCAGACACAAAGCAATGAGGCAAGGCAAGCACAGCAAATGTCTTTCCTGACTACACAACAGGCTAACCTCCTTACCTGTTTCTTTTAGGTATCACAGCAAATCTCCTCTGCTTAGGTTTCTTTCTTTGGTGCAAGCTAATTCATATACATAGATATCTAGAGGCTTTCATAATCATTTTATTAACATGGTTATCATTATCATATTATATTTAGATTTTTTATGCAGATAAAGTATGTACTTTTACAGTAATTTTAGTCAAGTTTAAAAAAAACACAAACCACTCTAAAGTATTTATACTCAGAAAGAAAAAACTGTTAACATTTCATGAACATACCACAGTTATATAATTATATATTTGCACAAATAAAAGAATAAAATATATAGATACATGAAGACTATTTGTAATTAATATATGTAATTTTATAGCAAAAATAATGAAAAATAAATTAGAAAATGGCTGAACTTACTTAAATATTTCTTTATCATAAGAACTTTTTAAAAATAAAACTTGTCTTTATGGTTAAGAATAAAAGATTATAAATACCATTAAGAAGCTGAATGCATTAGCTTCATGTTTTAATTTCAGATAGCTTTTGTTAACTCCCTGCAGTGTAATTGAAGATGATTAGCTCCTCTCCAGTTTGTCCTCACTTCTCTTCATTTCCAGTTTGTTGATAATTATATTACTTTAACTTTGTCAGAATTCGTAATATTTACATTTGGTTCTTCTGCAACTTTAACTGCCTCTGGTCTCTGATCTTCATTCTACATATAATGGCTGCAGTACTCATCATCACAAGTCTTCTTTATCTTATGGATTTTCCATTTCTTAGTTCATTAGCCAGATCATTCCTTCTTTCCTGGTATTCTTAATTAGTTTTGTTTGTTAGTTTTGATTTGTTTTATTTCCCTGCATGGGGGATTTTCTAGGAAAAGCCAGAAAATTTGCTAGATAGATTCTAAAAGAACTGTAATAGTGCTAGTTGGTTTTTTAATCCTTGAAACATTTCATGTTTCAGGTGTCTGACTGTTGCCTTTATTCTTTTCTGGGAGTGTTATTAATGGTCCATGCCTTCCTTGCCTCAGATTTGTGAACACATTTCTCTATTAAGTCCAAGCACTGAATATTGCCATAAGAAATCCTGTGGCATCCTGGTATTTTTCTCCTTTCGATGACATGAATGTTCTGCTTGGATGCCTTCTATATTTTTACCATTTCACTTTTTTCATTTCAGAGAAATTTTACCTATTTTGTCACTTAATAGCTTTCAGCTTTATTTATTTGTTT